CATGACTTGCTTGACCAATACAACCTGGTGGAAGGACATTCTGGACATCCGAGGATAGGTCATGAGAGGTCTTGAAGCTCCTCTAGCCCTCCCCTCCCCCCAGGTCTCATAAAACATCACTCACTTTTGGATCCCTTACCATGCCGGGAGAAGTTCGAGCTACATCGATGCTATGAGTAGGGGCTCCCCTTAGTAGTCCCAGCAGCACTCCCTGCCACAGTCAGCATTAACCTGACTGAGCCTCCCTAGGTGGCCAGCCCTGTTGAGTCTACAGATGACACCTCTGCTGCCAGTCTGTCTGCAGTCACATGAGCAACCTCAAAGCTGAGCACTGGCAGGGGCCAGTGAACTCACAGAACATGGAGAAATAACAATAAACTGTTAAGTAGACTTCTTTTAGAGAGAGAGATTTTTGCTATAGGGTACGTGTACTTGTCAGAGAGACAGAGAGACAGAAAGTGAGAAATCACCCCCAAGGCAGATAGTCATGCTGCAATCCCTTTTCCATTCTTCTCTCAGAATCTTGGGCATACATGCACATGCACCTGGTGTGAGTTTTAAGCCACCGGGTCTGGGACACGAACCATAGTCAACTATGTAGGAGTTCAGTGACATAACCATTACGCCGTCTGAGTTTTCAGCTACCAAAGAATAAATTTCTGTTGTCTTCACCCACCAGGTTTGTGCCCCAGGAAAGGCACACACCTTGGAAACCAAAGGGAGGAAAGTGTTGGTCTCTCTGGCCCTTAGAGAATACAGACCTCTGAAATTGGAAGATGGCCCCGTTCCCATGCACCCAGACTGTGTTTGTTCTAGTCCATTCTGTTGCCAATAACAAAATATCTGAGTCTGGGTAATTTAACAGAACAGAAGTTTATTCAGTTCATAGAAGTCCATGATCCAAGTCCAGAGTCCTCCTCTATGAGGGTCTTGTTGCTGGTGCCTAACTCAGAGGAGCTTGAGCAAAGCAGAATGTGTGTATCATTCTCTCTTTTTGTAAACCCCTACAGGGGTTTCAGTAATGAGAGTCCCACCCCAATCAGCTCTCAAAGGTTCCACCTTTTAATCCCATAGATTAAGTGTCCTCTTAAAACCTTCACAAGACTGGGCCACAGGTGTCATGGTGGTTAGGGCACTGGACTCCCACATAGCCAGTGGCAATTCAAGACCCAGACCCAACAGCTTGAAAATCATGCCAGATGGGACTAGCAGGTGGCATAACGGTTGTCACTGGACTCCCACAGTCAACCACAGTATAAGTCCTGGACCCATAGGCTTAAAACTCACACCACACACATGTGCATGCATGCCCAAAATCCCAAGAGGAGCATGGAGGAAAAGGAATTGTAACATGGCCATCCCCTCTGGGGAGTGATTTCTCACCCTTTAATCTCTCTCTCTGTTTCTCCAGCAAGTGCGCACATCCTATAGCAAAAACTCTTTCCAAAAAAAAAAAGAAGAAAGAAAGAAAGAAAAAGAAAAGAAAATCACTTCAGTTGCATTTGCATGCATGCCCCAAATCCCAAATCCCAAGAGCAGAATGGAGAAGGGATTGTGGCTTGGCCATCCTCCCTGAAGAGTCATGTCTCACTTGCCCTCTCACAGTCTCTCTGGTGAGCACACATGACCTATGGTAAAAATCTAAAAATAACTAGATAAGAAAACTTTCACAACACAACCAAATTCCAGTATATGAACTTTCAGGGGACACAGTCAAACCATAGCAATACTTTTTAAACTTTTAATTGCCTCTTATAAAATAGTATATGCATAATCACATGAAAGGTGTAAGAAGGAATGCGATGAATAGCCGGTAAGCTCCAACTTGAGAAATGGCCTTCACAGATGCTAATGAAGACTCTGCCCACAGAGGAGGGTGTGTTCCACATGCCAGCAGTCTGCCTGCTACGCGGTTCCGTTGTGTACACACATAGCTTCTAACAACACGGGACTGGCTTTGAATGTTTTCAAATTTTACAGAAAGAGTAGAATCACTAAATTATGCATTCTTCTGAATTCTTCAGAAGAAGCCGTTTTATTTTTCACTCGATATTGCATTTATAACGTTCATCTGTGTTGGTACTTGCAGCTCTAGCTCACTGCTTTGACTGCCGCAGAGTATTCAAGTGTAAGAATCCACCACACTTGGGGCCGGTGGGTGGTGTGGTGGTTAAAGGCCCTGGATTCCCACATAACTGACTGTGGTTCAAGTCCTGGACCTGATGATGTGCTTTCTCGCTTTCCCTTTCTCTGGTGAAATGGAGAAAATAATAACAAATGGAATTAAATAATTTTTTTAAAAAAAGAATCCATCATACGTATATATCCATCCCCTGCTAATTAACACTTAGACTTGTAAACTTTCAAACTTTTTTTATTTCTCTAAAAATTCTTTGATTTGTCTTTTTATTGGGAAATATTTCAAATAGTTCTAGCATTTCTTAAAATGAACACCTGCATACCTGTCCTGGCTTGGTCAAATCCCAGCACTACAGACCTGTTTCACACCTTGTTTATGAAGCACATTACAGATACCGAGGGAGATTCCTGTGTCATCTCCCTAGACTGGTACATCCATGCAGACTTCATTGCAGTATTGTTTCTTATAGTGAAACAGGAAACAGAAAAAAAATATATCTCAACGAGGGATGGTAAATAAATGAACAATGGTTCCATCCAATGTCTGTACTGCTTTGAAATGAACTAGAGCCGGGTGAGAAAAAATGAGAACATCAAATATATAGAGCATGCTATATGGAGTATATAGAGTATACTCTGTATGGATCATGATAATATTCATATCCTTTGTTTGTTTACAAGCCAGAGGGTGCATTTGCTCGCCAGAGAGAAATAGAGGACAGAGAGAGAGAGGAAGAAAGCACCCCCAATGGGGTATAGTCATGCTGCAATTTCTCTCCTCCATTTCTTCATTCTGTTGGGGGTTTGTACACACATGTGCACACTCCCAGGGCCTTTTGCAAGCTGCAAGGGTTGGGATTCGAACTGCACAGTCGGCCATGTGGGATCTGGCTCCCTTAACCACTTGGCCATGGAACCAGCCCATCATGTCTATTTTCTTTGAAGAGAAATTTTTGCTATAGGGCAGGACAGAGAGAAAGAAAGCAAGAAATCACCCCCAGGGAGGATGGCCACACTGCAATCCCCTCTCCTCCATTCTCCTCTCAGGATTTTAGACACACCTGTACACATGACTGTGTACATTTTAAGCTGCTGGGTCTGGGACTCTAACCACTGTCAACTACATGGGAATTCAGTCACATAACCATTATGCCATCTGCTGGTCTCCATCATGCCTATTTTAAACACACTTAACCACATTCGAAATTGCTTATGAAGCACGCCTGTAAGGCATGTGCATTAAAACAAGCATAGAGAATAAGTCCTGCCTTTCTCCTTTCGGGGTTGTGAGATTTATTTCAGGAAGCCAAGGCTCTTCTGGATGCAGGAGATAAGAAGTCTGAGCTCCTCTCTTGGCCTTAGCGTCATTTTCTCACTAACCTCTGCACTATGACAGCCAAGTGGAGGAAGAAGCAAATGTGCAGACTGAAGTGTGAAAGAAGAAAGATGAGGCAGAGGTCCGAGAAAACAGCCAGCATGTGCGCCTCTGGAGGCCACAGCAGCAGAAACAGAATGTCAGAGGCCCAGGATGCTGGTACAGATTGAACCATAAGCTGCTGTGGACTTCGTCTCTCCATGGATCTAACATAACTTGCATCGCCATCAGATTGCCAAGACCTCCTCTGAGAGAGACCCACATTGCTCATACCAAAACAGCCCCTATGGTCCTTTGCCTTGGACCTGTGACATTCTGGGATAGTGTCGTTACTTGTGCCCAAGTGTAATACGTGTATAATAAATCACCTCTTCTGTCATTAAAAAAAAGAAGAAGTTTGAACTCAAGGGGAAAATAGCGGTCACCAGGAAGCAGGGTGGGAGGAAATCATGAATAGGAGGAGATTGCAGGGACAAAACGGGCCATGCGTTCGTGGGAGGATGAATCGCTGTCAGGGCTGAACTCAAAGTCTGAAAGTCACCATGTTTGCCCAGATTGGCCCCTCTCCACACAAAATAAACACTGCCACCTTGGTGCCTTAAAGAAGACAGGCCATGGGGCCAGCAGGTGGTGTAATGGTTAAGGTGCTGGATTTCCAAGTGGCCAACTACAGTTTGAGTCCAGACATGCACCTTGAAACTCACACCAGGTGTGTGTGCATGTGTGTCCAAAATCCCCAGAGGAGAATGGAGGAGTAGGAATTATGGCATGGCCATCTCCGCTGAGGGGTAATTTTTGCTTTCCATTTATCTCTCTCTTCGGTAATTCCATGCATCCTGTAGCGAAAATCTCTAAAAAAAAGAAAAGAAAAAGAGGTGGAAAGAGAGAGTATTACATCGTGCTCCAAGGAGGGGACTCTGTGCTGACCCTGGTACAGGGCACGTGGTAAGGGGTGGGGAAACATATTTAAGTAATTGAACAAAATCCAGCTCGGCGCATCACAATCACCTGGGAAGATTTTTTTCCAATGCCGGTCCCCACCCTGAAGGTTATTAAGCATAGCCAAGGAGAGGGCTCTTCAGTAACCTACATTCTTTACAGACCTCCAAATGATCCCCAGGTACAGCCAGGTATTAGAAATATCGGGGGTGGGCAAGGCTCTGAGTTGTCTTTCTGCTTCTGTTTCAAAGGTCCAGCTGGAGTGAAGCACAGTGGCTCCAGTCAGCTGGACAAAGTGTCGCAGAGAAACCTGGAATAATGCAATCAACTGTGTCCTACAATCCTTGGGATGAATGGCACTGAATCCAGTGGGCCAGGCAGACCTTCCTCCTCCACTTTGTTCCAAGAATTGATGCTGGAGAAGGTAGAGCTACCTTAGTCCACAGGACTAAGGACTAAGGACTATTCCTTCTCCTACAGGAATAAATCCAGAGGAGGAACTGATGTCAAAAGGAATGCCAAGCTGCCTTCTCAGTCACGTCCTTACCCCGTTAGAACTGCAGGGAGCTCCTGGTGACACATGGGTCAGTGTCCTGTGTCCCATCAACCAGCACAAGAAGGGGACAACGGGCAGTAGCTTCGTACACAGCAGTATCTTCTCATCCACGGTGATTGCTTTTCTCATGGGCTTTGTTGCTTTCTTCACCATCTTCGTCAGCATAGATGTCCACTGTGGAGGAGATATCCAACTACTTCAGACAAAAACAAGAGCGAAACGGGCAGGTGCTGTGGAAACACTTCCCGAGAAAACACACAGCAAAGGAGTCAGGCTCGTGGGAAGCGACTGCCCAGAGCCTCAGCTCCCACTGCACTCAGGATACACCTCTGCATGCGCTCGGCCTCGTCCATCCAGGTATCAGCCTCCCAGCTGTATGGGGAATGGAGTCCAAGACCTTTCCTGTATATCATTTAGTTTTTAAAATGTTGTATGGCAGGGACCAACAGTTAGCATAATGGCTATGCCGCTGGACTCCCAAATAGTCGACCGCGGTTCGCATCCCAGACCCGGTGGCTTAAACTCATGCCAGGGGCGTGTGTGTGCATGCCCAAGATCCCAAGAGGAGAATGGAGGAGAAGGGATTGTGGCGTGGCCATCCCCCCTAGGGGGTGATTTCTCGCTTTCTGTCTCTCTGTCTCTCTCTCTCTGTCTGGCGAGCGCACGAACCCTATAGCAAAAACCTCTCCAAAATATATATATATATATTGTATGGCATTTGAGGCATGTCAAAATAAGTCCTCAACACCCCTGGCACTTTTTGAAATTTATAATTATTATCAAATTTTCCCATATGAACATTGGATGAAGAAAAAGAATTCTAGGAAGTTTGGGTATTGAGAGAGAAAAGATTATTCCCCACAATGTTCTGGAGATGCCTGCGGTGCTACTGCCTTGGCCCTTCCTATTTCCCTCTGACACACACCCTGTCAACCTCAGGTCAGAACCTAGCAGAGACCCATCCCGTCAGCTTGGATCTGGGGAAGCACCCAAGTCAGACCTGGTGCATATCTCTTGCAGGTTACAGATCCCTACCATGACTCAGAATTTTAGCCTATTCTGTAACTCTTTCACAAATGTCCTGACAGGAAAATCACCCAGAAACTATCCACAGTAGGAGGGAGACAGGGTGAAGGAGGAGTTCATAAAGACCCATCTCTCAACCTTCACCTCCCATAAATAGAAGTTTCCAGTCTCTGCTTGTGGGCTGGGTGCTAGCAGATGCTTAAGTCAGCTACTGCTGTGTAACAAGTTATCTAAAGCTCAGTGGCCTAAAGCCACAATAAATATTGATTAGCTCTCACAGTTCCTAAGGGTCAAGAATTGGGAGCAGTTTACCAGGTGGTTCTAAATCAGGGTCTCCTAAGGCTGCAGTCAAAATGGAATCTGTGGCAGCTGGGGGCACAGGGGTGGTATGGTGGTTAAGGTGCTAGACTCCCACTTAGCCAACCACAGTTCAGTTCAAGTCCAGAACTCGGTGGCTTGAAAAGCACACCAAGCAAGTGTACGTGTGTGTCCAAGTTTCTGAGAGGAGAATGGAGGGGAAGGATTGCGACATGGCCATCCCCCCGGGGGTGATTTCTCACTTTCCCTTTCTCTGCCTGTCTCTGGCAAGCGTACATTCCCTATTTCCCTACGGCAAAAACCTTATGCAAATAAATTCGAAAACCTAGATGAAGATGGGTGTTTTCTTAGGAATATACCAAAAGTGGCACCAATGGAGGAAGAAAAAGTGAATAAACAAATTAATCAGCCTCCACTCTAGAGTGAACGTTTGCCAGAATCCAAATGGAACCCTTCGTGTCAGCCCTGAGAACACTGAGCCAGGGAGGCCATAAAGGAAGTATTTTTTCACTCTAGCATGCCTAACAACTGTTACTTACAGAACTCTGCCAAAACCAAAGCCTTGCACAAAAACTGCTGCAGCCTGACACAAGGGCTATTTGCAAGGACATCTGCCCAGAGGCCGCCTGTCCAACCTCACACTGCCACTTTGTTTCTGATCTGGTAGCCGAGGACGAGCATCCCCAAACAACTGGTATTATCTCTTCTTTCCCTCTCCTCCCACCTGTGGGGTTGGTTTGCTTGTTTTTGCCTTCAAAACCTGTTCAAGTGGGTCAACTAGGAAGTGCAGTGGTTAAGGCTCCCACATGGACACCTGTGTGGTTTGAGCCCCAGACCTGGCAGTTTGACAAACATACCGGGAACGTTCGTGTGCATGCCCAATAATCCCAAGAGAAAAATGGAGAAGGGACTGAGGCACGGCCATCCCCCTCTGGAGGGCGAGTTCTCACAATTCCCCCTCTTCCCCCACCTCTCCTCCCACCCCTGGCAAGCCCACATGCCCTACAGCAAACGAACAGAAATCTGTCTGAGGACTGTATCACCTCTGTGCACATGTTCAGGGCAACCCAAAATACCTTTGTCTGGGCTCCATGCCAGGCGTGGTCCTCAGACTTATGCCCAAATGAGGTTCTTTTTATTTCAACACTTTGACTTGGTTGATCTTTTTAGATTGACAGAAGAGACAGAGGAGGTTCTCAAGGAACTACGCTAGCATTCCAATCTCCCGGAAGAGCATTCCATCCAAGCTTCCAGGATCAGGGGCTCCAAAGCTGTTAAACAGTGCGGAAAACTTCTGAGGAAACTTTATAAAGCAAGCATCGCATCAACAGCACACACGAAAAGAAATCTCAGTCTCACACCTCTTGAGGCAAAACTCTGAAATAGTAAAACTCTAACAAATGAAATGTGACTCCACATTGAGAAAATAACTTACGGTGACCACGTGAGGTTTCCTGCAGGAGTGTAAGGATTCGATATTAGGAAACCCGTGGGCAGGCTTCACTGTGTCAGTCAGCCTGGCTGTGCTCGGCCCCTTCGTCCAAAGCTAATTACGTTGATAGCGGCATTTAAGCAGGAAAACATGGTGCTGTCACAAAGCCCTCATTATATCCTGAGAATGAGTCTGCACATTGGATTTCAAACACCAAAGACCCTCTGCCCAGACTTCACCCTCCTTCCTCCTAGTCCAGCCAGGAGACAGGTTAGAGCATCCTACTTATTCTCTGTCTCTTTGCATCTCTTGCTCTCGTTTTTTATTTTTTGACAATTTTTTTTCCTTTTTCTTATTGTTTTTGCCTTTCTCACTCTCTCTCTTTTTAAATTCCTTTTCCTTTTCTTTTTACCTTTCTCACTTTCCTGCTCAGTCTCCATACACTGATTTTCTAGACAGGTCTAGGAACTCAGTAGCCAAATATCTGAATACTTTTAGGGTCAAATTAATCCTCAATTTTCACTAAATCAGTTGTGCAAAAAAGAAAAACTATTTTTCTCGACTGTTTACTGTTTACACACTGCAGGTCACCTCCTTCTGCATTCCTCTGATTGCTCAGATTTAACTTTAAAAAATAGGATAAAAGGGACCAGCAGTTAGCGTAATGGCTATGTCACTGGACTCCCATGTAGTTGACCATGGTTCGCATCCCGGACCTGGTGGCTTAAAACTCATGCTGGCGCGTGTGCATGCGTGCCCAAGATCCCGAGAGGAGAATGGAGAAGGTTGCGGCATGACCATCCCCCTGGGGGGTGATTTCTCGCTTTCTGTCTCTCTCTGTCTGTCTGGCAAGCCCATATGCCCGATAGCAAAAACCTCTCCAAAATAAAAAATAGGAAAAAATATATATAATCCATCAGATAACCAGAAACCACCATGAAGCACAAGAAATATGAGAAACAAAGGAAATATGTCTCCTCTAATGGAAAAGAATAATGCCTCTTCCTCCATAAAGAATACAAAGAAACTCATGGAAATGTCAAATAAAGAATTTAAAATATTTATAGTGGCAAAGCTAACAGAGATGCAAGAGAATAGTGACAACAAACTCCACAAGATGCAGGAAAGAAGAGACATTGAGTTCCAGGAAGCGAGGAAGTTCTTGCATGGTCTGAAAGAGGAGATACACGTCATAAAAAAGAATCAAACGGAATTGTTAGAGAAATCAAAACTTCCTTTGGGAAACCAGCAGTTAGCGTAATGGCTATGTTGCTGGACTCCCACGTAGTCGACCGCAGTTCGCGTCCCGGACCTGGTGGCTTAAAACTCACGCCGGGTGCGTGTGTGTGCATGCCCAAGATCCCGAAAGGAGAATGGAGGAGAAGGGATTGCGGCGTGACCATCCCCCCTGGGGGGATGATTTCTCGCTTTCTGTCTCTACGTCTCTCTCTGTCTGGCGAGCGCACGCGCCCTATAGCAAAAACCTCTCCAAAAAAAAAAGAAAAGAAAAGAAAAAACTTCCTTTGAAAATATCACAAGCAGATTAGATCACACAGATCAGATCTCAGATGTAGAAGACAGAACCTCTGACCTAGAAAAATTCACCAAAAAGACTAAGAAAATAACCAAAAAAATGAGAATAACATACAAGTAATAATAGATACCGTTAAATGCCCAAACATCTGGATCATCAGTATCCCAGAAGGTAAAGAAACTAATAAGGACATTGATAATCTATTCCATGAAATCCTGGACGAAAACTTTCCAAACCTACAGAGGTACTCAAATATCCAGACCCAAGAAAAACAAAGGACCCACATAGATTCCACCTAAGAAGAGGCACATCATCGCCAGATTGACCAAAACCACAGACAGAGATAAGATACTAAAATTGGCAAGAGAGAAACATCAAGTTACTTTCAAAGATATTCCATCAGGCTAACATCGGACCTCTCATTGGAAACAATGCAAACTAGGAAAAAATGAGAAAATACATTCAACATGTTAGGTGAGACACAATTTCAACTGAGAATACTATACCCAGCAAGATTATCTTTCATATGGGAAAAAAAGACAAAAACATTCTCAGATAAACAAAACCTGAGAGAATTTACCAACACCAGACCAACTCTCCAAGAAGTGCTGAAGGGAGTGCTATACCAGAAAAACTAAAGTCAGACACACAGAAATAAGAGTTCAAGAAACAACCAAGAGATGGGCCAGCCTAAGGGTAGGGACAAGTCTGAGTTGAATATTAACCTCCAGAGTTTAAATGGAAAGATCAGGCCTCAGTAACACTGCAAATTCAATAGAAGAGGGATTAATTATGTGAGTCTGAACTAGTAAAATAGAAATTTTTTACTTTAGACTAAAACATCACTGATTTTATTCAATGCTTTGATTTCCATATTTAAAGATTTTTGTCTTCTCTTGAACTGTTGATAGGTTCAGCTACCTACTATTTGAACTGAATCGTAACCTTTTTCCTGACTTTGAGTTTTAAGTAAATTTCTCTTAACATTTTTTTATTTTGATCTATTAAACTAAACGTTTTTTAAATTAAAAATGCATTAAATTAATTAAGATCTTTAGTGAATCAAGAAAATGTGAAAAAAGAAAAAAAGGTAGGTAAGACAACTGTACATACCAGAGACAGTGTGGGAGAAGGAAGGGAGTTGGCAGAGAGTGAGAGGTAGGGAATTGGACGGAGGGGGGGGGAGTAAAACAAAATATATAAAAAACAAGAAATAGAAAATTATTTGTTGATGATAACATGTATGGTAATATCCTTAATTGAGCCAATATACAATATATACTGGCTAAAAAATCTCATTTTGTTTAATGTATTTCTGTACAGTGAATAACTGTAAATAAATAAATAAGACAAAAAAAAATAAGAATGAGTCTGTGCATTGATGAAAAACTTTGTATCCCAGCCCAGTACAGAAGCTGATATACTCTCATGTTTAATATTTCCTTGTAGCGGCAGAATTCAGAGCTCAGGGATGGGCCCGAAGGTCCGTGGAAGCTGGTGTTGATAAGGGGTCCATCAATCACATCATGAGACTCAGATCTTCTGAAGATGACCCCACAGGGTCCCACACTGGCCCAGGCCCACCTGGGACCCCTGCATATACACTGTCTTTCTCTGGTCTGAAGCCTCAGCCCAGAGCTCCACAAAAGCTGGCCAGCTGCCTCTGGTGTCCTCAGACATCAAGGGTGAAATACTGTAGGTGGGCCCCTCAAAATAACCTTTCCTAAAGCAAGAAGGATGAGAGGGAGAAAAACTGCAGGTTAATAGGCTGGCAAATTCTCTTGCCATGTCTATGAACGCAATCTTTGTAACAATTCTGCAGAATGGAATTTGACAGGTCTTTAAAAAGTTAAAGTGCTATGAAAAAACTATGCATAGATTTCAAAATCTTATGACACCAAAGTGAACTTGTATTTTAATTCCATTTTTCCACAAAGTACCCTTGTGTTCTCATTTTATAGATAAGAACACTGAGGCTTAGAGGGGTTAAGTAAAACTACACAGAAAGAGGATGACAGAGCAATGTGACTCCCAGACCACTTCTCTCGGACTTACCACCTGCCTCCCTGAACTGACGGGCTGGATCAGATGTCCCCAGCCTAGACCTCTTTGTCTCGTCTGGATCAGGCACAAGGCAGGGACCCTCAGTATGTTCCCTCCCTCCCAGAGAGCTGGCCCTCAGCATCCATGAGGGAGTGGACAAGAAAACCTCTCTCTCCTCTTCTTCAAACCTGGCTTTTGGGTCTCAGCCTTCAGGCTTCATAGTCTTGCCCTTACCCCACCATTTCCCCTCATGAGTGTTGCTGAGTGTTCGTACCTCCTGCTTGAGCAAGGCTATCCTCTGCTTCCTGAGGAGCACAGAAGAGTCTGCAGAAATCCCCTGACTCTCCTGAAAAAGGCCCAAGGCCGAGCTGGCCCCCCAGCCCAGGTTCTCTATGCCACAGCAGGATGGGCATAGAAGTGCCCCTCTGGCCAGGCCAGCAGACCCACCTTACTTCCTGCGTCCCTCCCATTTCGTAGTCCACATCTACTACGCGGGCTAAGCTCAGTCTCACACTGTCTCCTGCTCTAGGGTCCTGAGCATGGGAGCCTAGGCAGAGGGTGACACCAGACGTTAATTCTAGAGGACATGGCCAGAGGAGGCCATCTTCCAAGCTGGAGCCTCAGGCAAGCAGGCAACTGAGCTACCTCCCAGGTTCCAGCCAGGCTAGACCAGACCTGACTTCCCATGTGCCCCTGCCTCTGCCCTGGCTGCCTTCTCTGACCTCACCCCAACTGCACCTTCTCTCTTTCAGAGTCATGAGGACCCACCCATGGTCCCCACCCAGCCTTGGCCCTAATGTCACCCTGCATGACCCCAAGGCCTGTTTACTCGAAGGCAGTCCATTCCCAGGACCTCAGGCAAAATCAGACCTCAGTCCCATCCGTCTCAGGATCAGGCCAGGAAGGGGAGGTGGCTCGAGTCTAAAGAGGGCTTGGCCCCAGAGCCAGAGCAGTGCCCATCTGACCCACCCATCTCAGGGCCCGAGGGCCCTCTGGGCTACTCTGATCAGGACAGAGTTCCCGGGAACAGGCAGATCCCTGCTGAAGCACCCAGACATTCCAGGAAGCCTGTGTAACCCTGTCCATCCCCCTCCAGCCTCATGTCTGTGTCTGTGAGGACATGGCCTGGCAGCCTTCAGCCCAGGAGGACATCCACCACACCCCTTTGCAAGCTCATCCATTACTGTTTTGCTGGGCTGTGTTTTTGTCATTTGAGGCCAAGCTCCCTTCTCGGCTGTCATCCATTATCTAAGGAGCTGGAG